ATGTGGATTTTTTGCATGTGTGTGTGTGTGTGTGTGTGTGTGTGTGTGTGAAGGAAGTAACTGTGTAGAGGTTCATATAGAAGTCTAGTAAGTTAGAGGTGAGAACCAGGAGGGGAATGAAGGTTTGCTATTCTGGGCCCTGGGAGAAACTCACCAATGGGAGAAAGGGGCAGGGATGGTGGAATAAGGGGAATTAAAGGGATGATCCAAGGTGAGGAGGCTTCAGCAGCATGTGTGTGAAATAAATAGCTCATTAAAGTGAAAGGTTGGGGAGATGGAGCATAGAGAGAACAGCTAAATATCCTTTGCAATATATAATATTAAAGATTAACATGAATGAATCATTTATCAGTGCTTCTTTGTGACTTACATATATTTGTATTGCTCTTGCTCCACACTCTTATCTCTCTATCTCTCTCTCTCTCTCTCTCTCTCTCTATCTATCTATCTATCTATCTATCTATCTATATTTATCTATCTATCTATGGCAATCAGGGTTAAATGACTTGCCCAGGGTCACACAGCTAGTAAGTGACAGAGCTCAAATTTGAACTCAGGTCCTCCTGACTCCAGGGCTAGCGCTCTATCTAGTGTGCCACCTAGCTGCCCCTTATACTCTTTTTAGTCTTTATTGTGCTTTCTGCAAGATGTTTCACATAGCATTATTTTTGGTGGGAGAGATTTATAACCTAATCTTGGTTATAAATCACTGTAAAAACTCCATTCAGGCTAAGGTCAACTTAAAATGCCATGACTTTAATTCTACTTCTTATTGCTACTTTTCACATCCTAGTAGAAAAGCAAAATAGAATTCTATTAACTCTTCTCTGTTTTTACTAAGACTTAGAAAGGTTTTTCGAGCTGGAGGGAGATGCTCAGTCAATAGCATTGTCTTCATCTGAAATCATGGACCCTTAATCATTCCAGTCATTTGAGAAAGGAATGATGGAAGAAAAAGAAGAGAACTCCATCTTACTGGAAATCAAGTGCTGACTTTAGAGCTGTTTGTGAACACAATTTTAAGTGGTTAAGACACAAGAGTGCAGAAGTCTAGATGAGACCCACAATCTGGGTGGAGGCAATTTGCCTCAGGATGCTGAAATTTGAAGGGTCCTGATAGTGATTGCACTCCTACCTACATAGCAAGAATAATTAGTTAAAACAGAAAGCTTGTAAGTGGTACTTGCCCCTCACCTTCCCTCCTGCTCTCCCCCCAGTTGCACCTTAGCTTTTCTGTGCCTTGTCCTAATCTGTTCCCTCTGTTCCATTCTATGCCCTCTCTCCCAATAGTGGGCTCTAGTCTCTATCTCCCCCTCCCCCACCATGGGTAGTGCCCTAGGGTCTTCCTATATACACCATGCTCAAGACAATTTCTCAAAGCACCAACAATGCTGGTTATGACTGGTTTAGTTGTACGATTACAAATTGAGCTGGGCTAGGCCACACTCTGCTCCTGTGAGATAAAATCCACATCTCTGCTTGGCATACAGAATCCCACAAGGATACTTGCAAATTGACAGCTACAGCACTCCTCCCCACATCCCCAATAAGAGAAGCCATCATCACGCACACATAGTGTGGCCAAATGTGGTCTTTATGAAAATCTATGCAACTATTGGTTTTGAACAAGACTCAAATGAATAAAGATAAGAATGAGTCAGTAACCAAGGTGACTTTCAGCATATCTTCTAAATACTAGATTCCAGAAAAATAAACACAATCATTATAACTTTATATTGTAGAAATTGTCATTGCTACATGTTCAAATGTGTAGTAATTCACATATTGTTACCAAAAGTATTCATGAAAAATGAAATTCATCTTAGTTACTTACTCTCACTCATATAAGGGTTCTATTAAACATCAAGCATTTATCAGGCAGGGCTGTGACCTTTGAACTTAAGAGATTAAAAAAATGTAAAGTAATAAAACCTAAATATGACAACATGAATGCCAAGCTTCAAAGGGATGGTTCTTTATTAGAACTAAACAGGAACATATAAATCTAAAACATTAATTATTAAAGCAGTAAGCACCATGAAAGGAGTACAACTGAGAAAACCTCAATATAAATCCTGGTTCTGCCATTTACTACCTCTATGGTCATTGACAAATCATTTAATTTCTCTGACTTCAATTTCCTTAGTTATAAAATAATGGGTTGGCCTAGATGTCCTCCAAGATACCTTCCTGTACTAAAATTATGATCCTCTTTCTCTCTGGCAAGTATTCTTAACCTTTTTTTTTTAAATGTTATGGACCCCTTTGGCTAAGAGGTAAAGCCAGTGGACTCCACAGAATAATATTTTTAAATGAATAAAATAAATACAAACAATTTCAAAGGAAATCAATTGTACTGAAATGTAGTTATCATTTTTTAAAAAGTTTATATACTCCAAATTAAGAAATACTGCTTTATGATTTTAAATCATTTGGCACAAACCAAATTTAGCTTTTCAAATCAAGTAGAGAAATGTTTCCATTCTCTTTTAGGAATATAGACTAGATTTCCCAAATTTTCCTTATGCATGAAGTTTTCAGATGATACTATGGATAAAAAAAGCAAGTGAATAATTTTAAACTACAAAAATCCAAATTTAAAGTGACAAATCATAAGAGAATAAATTTAGAGCTAAACAAGACCCTGAGTTATCTAGTTATTTCAAGGAATATGGAGATTATTATGTAACACTCAGACACCATCAGAGGTGATTCTCCAAAAATAAAAGTAGGGTTCAAAAAAAGGATATCAGGAGAGATGCTCTTTCCTCTATGCCTTGGAAAAATAATGCAATTAAAATAATTATCATTTTATATGTAAGAAATTCAGTTTTCTATCCTTAGGATGAGTACTACTTTAGTACTATCTATGTGCTTCTACCTAGATGTTTGGACATCTTGGCATGTGTCCTCATTTGGATGCAAGACCCTATATATCTTTTATACTCTTTACTCATATAGTTCTTAAAGTCACGACAGAGTGGATGGCTATGAGAGCTCTAGTTAATCATTGTCTACTCAAAACTCATTATATGAGCACAGAATCTGAGAAGAGAGTTTTTTTTCTGTAGGTATAAGGCTGTGTAGAAGGGGAGGGTGATTATGGATTTTCTATTTATGTTAAGGTTCATGTTGGTTATACATCAACTACCTGTTATAAAGCATTATTCTTATCAAATTCAAGTAAGATATATAGATGTGGTTTCTTATTACTGTGCTAAATGAGGAGTTATGTCATTAATGCATGGAAAGGTAGAAAATATCCTCAGTTGATACATTATAATAAGGAGAAGTATAGAAATGTAGCCATGGTTTATCTCCTTCTATGCAAACCATATAAAATCCCATGACTTCAGGTCATAAACCAAAGCTTTGGGATGTTTTTTTTTTCCAGCAATAATAATAACAATTGACCTTTTCCTATCATTTTAAAGTTTGAAAATTATGTTACATAGGCTATTTCTTTTGAGTCTGATAATAATCTCTTTAGGTGCAGACTATTACCCACATTTTGCCGATGAGGAAAAAAGGAAAGTAGAAGGCTGAAGTGATTTACCCATGGTCTTACAGCTAAAAATGTCTAAGGCAGGATTTGGACAGAGAGGCTTTCTGATTCCAGGTCTAATACTGTACCTACTCTACCACGCTGCCTCCCTAGGTCAGTTATTGCACATCTCTGGGTCTAAGTTTCTTCATCTGTAAAACAAATCAGGCTAAATGGTCTCTAAGGCCCCATTCGCCTTGAAATCATATTATCTAACTCTGAAGATAACTGGCTAGGGTTGTGTCAATACACTTTTTTCTGTTGGTTCTTGAGAATTTTTACAAAAAAATATTTTGTCACCTGAAGGTAACTGAGTAAAAGGCAACTGTGATACAGGGGAAGGAACATTGAATTTGGACTCTGAAGTCTTGAGTTGAGTCCTGGATACTCAATAGCTGTATGGCCTCTGGTAAGTAACTTCCTATCTTTGGGCTTTAATTTCTTCCTTTGTAAAATGAAGAGGCTGGTACTGGATAATAGTTTGGGTCCCTTTCCATTCTGAAGCCTCTGAGCAACCAGCCTCTTAGATTTTGTTTTTTATCCATCTTTGATTCTAACAGGATATTTGAAAACCACGAGGTGATTTCTGGCAAGAACAATCATCTAGCATTTATTAAATACCTCCTATGTACCAGACTCTGTGCTAGATGCTCCAAGGATAAATACAAGAGTCACTTTTTGTCCTCAAGGAGCTTAAGTAGACGGTGGTAGGTGGAGAGGAGGGTGCTTTCACAGCCTGTATGCAAAATAAAGAAGTGATTTGTGATCACTGGGAAAGGGTGGACATTAACAACTAGGGTGATCAGGAAAGGTTTCTTGCAGAAAGTGGCATGTATGCTAACCCTGGAAGAAAGCTAAGAGGCGAAGTGAGGAGCGAGGGCATGTGTCATGCAAAGCTTTGGAGGTGAGAGATGGAATGTCCTATTCAGTGAATTCAAGTAGGCCAATTTGACTACAGCATAGGAGTGTGAGAGTCAGGGCTAAGGTGGGTAGTCTCTCTAGAAAGAGAGGGTGAAGGCAGATTGTGAAAGGCTTTGAGTGTCAAATGAAGGAATTTGTATTTTACCCTCAAGGCAACGGGAAGACAAAGGTAGCTACAACCTGATTTCATGCAGCCTTTTGGGTGCAGCTCAGTTTCCTTTTTCATCTCCCTCCCCAGATGTTCTCCTTACTTTTTCTGTCTTTAATGCTTTTCTCTTCCTATCTCTCCGACTCGATTTACTTTTTTTTTCTATTCTCTTCTACTTCTTCCTTTCCTGCCCCCTTTCTTTCTCCTGTTTGGCATTACACTTCACTCCCTCCATTCAGAACGGTCGATCCCTGACTCTCGGGTCCGTCCAGTCTTCCTCCCCTCCCGCCCCCATTGGCTCTATTTCTCTCTTATTCTGCAATCTTTCCCCTGTTTGCCCTTTCCTCCAGTCTGGAATCCTAGCCAACATTCCCTGTTCTTTAACTCCTCCGGTAAATCATTTTTTTCTCTTACTTTGCCTCCCCTCCTCTCTTTCTTTATTTCTGGCTTGGCTCCGCCCTCCCCATCAGAACGAATAGGGCTTTTCTCCCAGACCCTGGCGGCCCCCAAAGTCAGCCAGTCCTTCTCTGACCTCCCCTCGTCAGGTTCCCGGCTACTCCTCTCATCCTACCCTTCTTGGACAGCTGAAATCAGAAAGGAAGCGGCAGGACGGGTGTAGGGGACCCTTACTGCAAGTAAGTTTCAAATCTTGGGGTCAGAGGATTTGAGCTTGGTCCAGTAACATTTTCTGGGCTAGTTCCCCAAATTCCTTTTTCTCATCCTGGCACCATACTCCTAGAGACAAAACTTCGAGGAAACAGTGGAGCCCTGGAGAGTTACATTCTAGGCTGGAGTAAACAGCGGAATGAGGCATTGTTGACTTTGCTTTTAATGGTCTCAAAAATCTATGCGGTTTTTTTCTTTCAAACACACCAAATCAGTCCAGGAGCCCAGCCTCTGCTACCACTAGCGGACTTTTCTTTTAAGGAAGTAAATAATAATGCATACTGCACTCCACAGGGCTTGGAGTACTTGGCAAAGGCGCGGGATTTAAAGTCAAAGGAACTGCATTTGATTTCCTCTTTACCACTTTGTAGTTGGGTGACCCTGGACAAATAGACATTTCTCCTGTCTTGATTTCTTCCTTTGTAAAATGAGAATGTTAGACTAGCTAGATGGCCCCCTAAGGTCCCTTTCTAGTTAAGTATACTGATAATACAAGGAATCCACTGCCTGACTCTGCCACCCTGTTCCCTTTGTCCCACTAGCAGCAGGAAAACACAAACAGAATGTTTCTTTAGGATTTTGTTCAGAGAGCTGGGAAATTTGCCAGTAAATCTGTTTGTGATAGAGGACCTGGGAGCAACTACTAAGGGAAGCAGCATTTGTAGCCAGAAAGAATCTAGTATGTGCCCTCTTGGTCTACAATCCTGTTGATTTATTACATTAAAAAAATTCCCGAGAGAGCTTAGAAAATAATATAGCTAGTGAACGTGAATACATATATACATATATATATAAACAAATGTAAAATAAAACTTCATGTTTATATGCCATATCTACTAACTAATGTGGTATTTTTTTTTGTACATACAATTGATTAATTATTTCAGTGAGCAGGTTATTTTTTTTTAAATTTGTGTCCAGGAGAAATTTTAGCTACTTAAAACAAAGGTAAATAAAAGGCAACATTATTTGCAAAAGTTAAAGAAAAATGAAACAAACAGGAAATAAATGGGAAAATAATAACTGGTGGATTATGAAATCATTCTTCTGCAAAATATAGAAAGCCACTGGGCTTTCAGGCTTGATTCATTTTTTAAAATGTTGACTTATGTAGGAAAAGTATCATAGAAACTATCTCTCAATTTTAATATCACAACTTAATTTGATAGTAAAAAAAATACAATAGGGGCAGCTAGGTGGTACAGTGGATAGAGCACCAGTCCTGGAGTCAGGAGGACCTGAGTTCAAACACTGCCTCAGAAACCTAACACTTACTAGCTGTGTGACTCTGGGCAAGTCACTCAACCCAAATTGCCTCATACAAAACAAAACAAAAAATACAATATCTTTTTTAACCTTTTTTTTTTGAGGTCTTGGAGGTGTTGAAGTATAATTTAATCTTTGTAGACAACTTCCTCAACCACTGCAGGTCAGCAACTCATCTCTAACTTGAGAGTCTTAAAGACTGACAGTATAAGGATAGGCCAATGGCACATGATTCAGTTAGTATGTATGAGAAATAGAACTTGAATATAGGTCTCCTTGATTCTAAAGTTATCCTCTCCACTATGCTCTTCTGTCTCTCTCTTAACCAAAGTGTAATGAGCTGCCTCCTTAGTCAACAGATATTTATTTGTAAGTTTTTATTGATCTTTTATTTTTTTTTACACCATCATAGTTTTCTGCAGTGTCATCTCATATTAAAAAGTGGTATCTTTTAGAGACAAAAGAAAAGAAAGGACAAAATCATCACAACCAATCAATACATTGAAAAAATCAGAAAATATGTGTGGTGTGTGACATCAATGGACTTCCCACCTCTACAAAAGGTTAGGTTGGGTCCTCTCATATCTCTTCATTAAGTCGTGCTTGATATTTATAATTGTGTTACATTCATTTTTAAAAATTTTTTGATGTGAGGTTATTCTATTTCATTGTTGTAGTCATTGTGTGTACTGTTTTCTACACTTTTCTTACTCCACTCTACTTTAGTTCATATAGATATTTGTTTTTCTGCATTTATTGCAATAATAATTTCTTACAGCATGGTAATATGCCATCACTTCATGTACTCACATATTGTTCAGTCATTCCCCAATCAGTGGGCATCTAATTTATTTCCAATTTTTTGTTCTCACAAAAAGTATTGCGATAAAACATTTTCATGTATATGGGAACATCTTTCTTATCAATGGCTTCCTTGGGGTATAGACTCAGTAATAGAGTCTTTGGGTCAAATGATATAGACATTTTATTGACTTTGCTTACATATTTCCAAATTGCTTTTGAAAATGGTTGTACCAATTCACAGCTCTACCAACAACGTATTAGTGTGCCTATTATCCCATAACCCCACTATAATGGACTATGGCCATTTTTTGTCATCTTTACCAATTTGCAGGGCATGAGGTGATATCTCTGACTTGTTTTGATTTGCATTTTTCTTATTATTAATGATTTGGGGCATTCTTTTATGTACTTTTGAATATTTGCAATTCTTCTTTTGCAAACCTTTGATTCATATGCTTTGACCATTTGAAGAGTGGCTATTAGTCATACACACACATATTTACACATGTATATTTACACATGCATATACATGTCATATAAGTGAGATGTAAGTAATACCTGTCATATAACTAATATATGTCATAAAGAACACATGTAGTTAATACATGACTGATATCTATAAATGCATATATATAGATATATGTATACATATATCTATATATATATTTGAAAATTATTTAGCTATCTTGGACACTAAATCTTTATCTGAGAAATTTGATATGAAAGATTTTATTTTTCATTCAATCACTTCTTCTCGTAAGCAGGCATGGTTTGGAGAGGGGCTATTCCTAAACATATGATAATTTTGTTGTTGTTGTTGTTACATCAGCAACTAAAACAGAGTCTGTCATTTTTTTTAAATTTGGAGGATTAAAAATCTTTTGATCTATCCCTAGAATTGTCAGACAGGAGAGATTTCCAATAAGGTATTCTTTTTTTTTTCCTTTTCAGTTACTTTACTTCCTGAAAATGATGTTTGATGTAGAAATCACTTCCAAAAAGGTGATCATTTCTCTTTTAGTTTTGGTAATAGTTTTTGCTTTTATAAAAGCACTGGGAAACACGAACAAAAAGCAGATGTCTCCTCCAGGCCCATGGCCATTCCCCATAATAGGGAATCTTCTTCAACTTGGAGATCATCCTTATCTCACGTTTATGGAGATGAGGAAGAAATATGGCGATGTATTTCTTATCAAACTGGGAATGGTCCCTGTGGTTGTGGTGAATGGTGAAGAAATGGTGAAGAAAGGCTTACTCAAAGAGGGAGAGAATTTTGCTGGCAGACCCCACATGCACACATTTTCTTTCTTTGCTGAGGGCAAAAGTCTTTCATTTTCAGTGAACTATGGAGAGAGTTGGAAGCTCCATAAGAAAATTGCCATAAATGCCTTAAGATCCTTTTCCAAAGCAGAAGCAAAATCCTCTACCTGCTCTTGTATCCTAGAGGAACATGTCACTGAAGAAGCTTCTCAATTAGTAAAAGTCTTCACAAAACTGTCATTGAAGCAAGGCAGCTTTGACCCTAAAAGTCCCATTACTTGTGCTGTTGCTAATGTTGTCTGTGCCTTATGCTTTGGCAAGAGGTATGACCACTTTGATGAGGAATTTCTCAGAGTGATTAGAACAAATGAAGAATTCCTGAAAGCCTCCAGCGCAGCTAACCCAGCTGATTTCATCCCATGCTTTCGCTACCTCCCACTGCGTATTATAAATGCTCCTCGTGAGTTTTATCATCAACTAAATTGTTTTATTGGACAGCATGTACAAGATCATATTACCACATATGATAAGGTAGGCATTTTAATTAATGTCAGCCAAGGGCTTTGTAGTGTAAAGAGGTTAACAATACATATGAAGGAGAATGTAATTTCACCTGTCTCCCAGGGTGGGGTGGGTGCTTTCTTGCTTTTGTTTCCACTTGAGGGTCAACAAGATGAAATTGACCTGGTTCCCAAATACATAGATTGTTGTCAGAGACTACAGAACTCTGAGCAGTGATCATCTTTGGGCTGATCCTAGAAATCAGGCAGGTGGACCGTTTCTCTTGCCATGCCAAGGCTTTTCAACAGGCAATAGGTAGCCTTTGGCCTTAAATAAACTCTCACTGAAAAGTTTTGCTTTGAATACCCTTTCTTTTGGCAAAAGGGGTAGCCATAGTATCTATGTGCAATTCTCAGCGATGGGGAGTCCTAGGGTATGATTATGTCCCTTTATGGCTCAGGTGGAGTGAGGAAGGAGGTCATTGGAATGAGTTGAGGTGGTTGAGGGTTTGACAAGCAAATGTTGATGAGGATTATGAGAGGGGTCAGGATAGGGGAGGAATAATGGGCTCAAATTTTATTTTTCCAGAATCATCTCAGAGATATCACTGATGCTCTGGTTAGTATATGTCATGAGAAACGTGCCGCAATGAAGACTGCTACCTTAAGTGACAATGAGATCATGAGTACTGTGAGTGACATCTTCGGAGCTGGTAGGTACCATTGTCTATAATCCTAGAGTGGGGAGAATTTAAAATGCTTTAAACCTCTTTATGCTGCCCATCAGTGAAAATGAATTTGTTAATAATTATTTCTTCTCTAAGAAGCATACTTCATATTTCCCCCCCCAGGGTTTGAAACAGTATCAGCATTTCTAAATTGGAGCTTTCTCTACTTGATTTACTACCCAGAAGTACAAGCAAAAATCCATGAAGAAATTGGTAATAACATGTCATAGGAATAAAAAAGGCAATCTAGCCATGCAATATTCTGCAGCCTATTATCATCCTCGTTAAGCACAGTCATTTGTTTTCTGCAGATGGAAATATTGGCCTCAAACCACCCAGATTTGAAGATAGAAAGAATTTACCCTACACAGAAGCTTTTATAAATGAAATCTTCAGGCATAGCACATTTGTTCCATTTACTGTCCCTCACTGGTAAGCATATGGCTCCCTCTCTTTATGTGATCTTTAAATGGAAACAATAGAGATTTATTTCAATTCCTCAACTTGAGGTCTTGAAAAAAAATGCAAATGTTTTGAAAAATGTGTTTAAAAGTTGGCCTATTTTTTGTTTAAGAAAACTACTAGCCGTGTGACCCTAGGCAAGTCACTTAACCCGTTGCCTAGCCAAAAAACCAATCAAACAAACAAAAAACCACAGTGAATGTTTCAGGTGGAGCAAAGGGATTTTGGAGGAATGTTTCTCAAAACTAAGTCAATCAGTCTCTCTCTCTCTCTCTCTCTCTCTCTCTCTCTCTCTCTCTCTCTCTCATATCTGTCTCTGGGTCTCTATTTATGTCTGTCTGTGTCTCTGTTTCTATACCTATCTCACTTTCTCTCCTTAATTTAGATCTGAAAACTCTATATAACCTCATGCCAAAGTATACTGATAATCTAATACCATCTTATTTAAAGGAATATTTGTGTATTGTTGTCTTTAAGGTTGTTATAAAGAATTTCATCTCAATTTATGGAAGAGATTTTTGATGGATTATCAGGTTTGTAATCATATAAGAATTTCCCTGCAAGTTCTCATTAGTCATTTTTCTCCCTTTCTATTGAGCAGAGTTGCTTTCTGTTGTTGTGTTTTGTATGAATGGGGTTCAGCCATCCCACTGCTAAAACCCCTCAAGAGTTGTTAATTGTGAAAGGCAATCAGATGAACTACTGAAATGCCTTCTCATAGCAGTGATTTTGAGGGAGTACTGCTATAACCCTGTGAAGAACTGGACTCCCCTTTCAAATAAAGCCAATATATGAACATTTGGGTTGCAGGTGGGCTCAGTCTAATGAAAGGTATTCACTTCAGGATTCTTTCAAATAGACAGTTCTCACATTGTACTGGAAATAAAATTCAAATTGCCAAAGTTAATACATACTTTTTCAAGAACACGTCATCAGTAAAGTAAGGTAGCCCTATGTCCTGGGAAGTAGGTTGGTGTAGTAGAAAGATTGCTGGATTTGGAGTCAGAGGACCCCAGGTCAAATCCTGATGCTATCCCTCACAGCCTATGAGACAGTGGGCATAGTAATTTAACTTCTTTGGGCCTTACTTGTCTCTCTAGTAAGGAGACTTGAGTTCAAATCCCATCTTGGATAATGGCTACCTACGTGACCCTCAGCGAGTCACAACCTCTTTGTGCTCTAAAGACAATAATTTTTTCTCTTCTCCTCCAGGGATCTCTAGTTTTATGGCATTGTCATTAGTCTAATAGCTTGAAGGTAGGGTTAGAATCATAGAATGTTAGTACCAGAAGAACCATAGGAAATTCTCAGAGGTTCTTTTTTCTTTTCTTTTTTACAATCGGTCCCTCTTACTAACACTTTTGTTCAGCAAATTTAAAAATATAATAAAGCCCTTAATATAGAGCTGCATAATCTATTCCCACATTAGCCATGTCTGATAATGTGTAATGTACTTCTCTGCATTTTAAATTTATTTCTCTGTCAAGAGGTGAATAGCCTGTTTTATTTTCATTCTTTTAGACTAGACAAATGGTATCTTGACATCCCACCCCCTTTCTTACCTAGCCAGCACTCTCCCCATCATGGATTAGAGGTATTAAAGCTATAGCCTACTTGCTCCCAAGTGGGGTCAGAACCAGAGTAAAATGTATTTGTAAATAAAAATACCATACAACATGGACAATGTTAATCTGCGATTTCCTAAGTCAATATGCAGCCTGGTCCTTTTCTATTTGAGTTTGAAACCACTGGGCTAGAAGACATGTGTTTCTGTTTTCTAATCTTCTGACTAAATGTATATAACTTTTGGGTCCATAATGCTTCATGGATAGTGACTAATCCTGCTTCTGTTTAGGCTTATTCACATAGATTTTGATAACTGATATGTATGACATTTGGTATTATGGAAGACCACATTTTCCTGAATACAGGATATTAATGTTTTGGTAAAGTGCCTAGAACTCCCCTGTATCTCAGCCTTCAAGGCAAAGAATGTGTGTGTGTGTGTGTGTGTGTGTGTGTGTCTGTGTGTCTGTGTGTATTTGTTTGTTTGTACTCTGTAATCAAAATGCATTATATGTATTTTATTTTCCTAGTGCTACCACAGATACTACTCTCAGTGGATATTTCATTCCTCGGAAAACTTGTGTGTTTTTTAATATGTATCAAGTAAACCATGATGAGTAAGTATCTGCTAGAATTCTTCTGTAGAGAGTGACACAGGCTCACTTAACTCAGCTGTAGCCAAACTTTCTTCCTTCCAATCCTGTCAACTCCAGTGTCCTTTAAAGGTATTCAGTTCCTAAAGGAAACCATGGTGTTTATGGGATTTTAGAATTTAGGGCTAAAAGAGACCTTAGAGACAGAAGAGGAAACCTAGGCCTAGAATCAATTTGGCAGGCAGATAAAATAGAAATGCATGCCCTTTATTTTATTCATCCATTTATTTTTGTAGAAGGGGGTGTGGCAGTGTGGACTTGTATTTGCATTTTTCTGGAGAATTTATGGTGTGAAAACTCCCTTCATCGATGAATATCATAATGTGTTATGATGGGTCATTGAGGTTTTATATGTAAGATTGTTTAATTTGGGAGTGGCCCAAAAGGATATGTTAGAAGTCCAACACCCACATTTTAAAATGAGTCAGCAAAAAAGGCACATCATGGTATCTTTATCCCAAAGTAAAGTAGAAAGGAGATGACCAAGTATTTATGAAGTTAGGAACTGCTCTTTTTTTAAAAAAAAATTTTGACATCTTTTGTTTTTGTATCACATATATTTCTCAGTATATCATTCCATACTCCCATTTCCCAAAAATCATCCCCCATAACAAGGAATAAAAAAAGAGAGAATAAAAATTCAGCAAAAGTAATTAATGTATCACAAAAGTTTGACATACTCAGTGTTCCATATCCATAACCCTTGACCTCTGTAAAGAAGCAGAGTATGGGAAGAGGTGCCTTCTCATGTCCTTTCTTTGGGACCAAGTATGATAATTATAATCTCACAGCATTCAGTTTCACTTGGATTGTTGTACTTTCCCTTTCACATTGTACTCATTATATATTTTGTTTTCCCAGTTCTGCTTACTTTGCTTCACATCAGTTTATAGAAATCTTCCCGTACTCTTCTGTATTCATCATATGAATCATTTCTTTTGGTGCAGTAATGTCTCATTACAGTCATGTGCCACAGCTTTTGTAGCCATTTACCATTTGATAGACAGGAATTAGTGGGGCAGATAAAAGCCTACTGCATAAAGTTGGGTTTGAACAGAGTCTCGAAGAAAACCAAGAGGCACAAGGCAAGAAGAAGAATATTCCAGGCATAAGAGATGGATTGTCATGTTCAAAGAATTTTAAGTAGGTGCTTAATGAATGCTTGTTGACTTGGGGGAAACACATGGATTCTTGAGGAATATTGAACTGTGTAGTAGCCAGGTCAACCCTTCAAGTACAGGGTCAAATAGGGAGGGGCTAGCCTTAGATAATTGAACCACTTGATGAAAAGAATTAAGCATGAAATCTTTTAGGAAATACTGTTATATCAAACAGAAATGGCAAGTAATTATAAACCTTTCCTCTAGGAATAGGTATGTGGGAAATATCAGATTTTGGTGTCCAAAGAAGCCCAAACTCTGTAAAGTAATAAAAATCCCCTTGAGTTGGAATTTACAGCAATTTCAGTCACAGCTTAGTTGTAATAATGATAATAATAAAAAATAACTTTTATATATCAATTTAAGTTCTGCAAAACCCTACATATATTGTCATTTGATCTTCAAGGTGAGTGTGATTCTGCTGTATTAAACAATGCTAAGGAGCATGATAGGAAACTTATGACAAGTCAGCCTCTGTTGATCTAGTACAGCACAAACAGAGTTGGCAATAAAAATCAGAGGGCAGAGAGACAAAGTCAAACTAATCCTGTAAGTACACATTGAAGGTTGCTCTAACATCCTATAAGAGCACATTGGGATTTCCTCTGCACTATCGATACACAGAAATCCATGCCTCGATTGCTTTTTGTGACAAAGGTACCTTTTTTAATTTTGATCTCTTATGTCATATTCTTGAAGTGTTCTGAATGGCATTTTGAGAAGAATTTCACCATTGGAAAGCCTAGATAAGTTTTGTTGGCTCTTTTATTCATTATTTGAGAAATTGCCATTTGTTTTCTGCAGGAGCTAGTTATCCTCCACTGGATGTCATGATTGCATTAACCCTCTTTTGGGAAGCTAATCTGATGAATATGCATATTATGCAAAAGAGAGCTATCCATTTTTGTATTTGTGCTGAAACTATTACCTCAAACTAAATACATTTAGGGCAAATGAAATGATTACACACTTCTTTAAGATTAAAAAGTGCTTTATAGATGCTAGTTGGTAATCCTGTCTATAAGATTTATACACAAGTTACCTACTCAATCAAATGCTCTTTTTTTAAAAAATGCCCTTTGTGTTTCTTTCTTATTTTTTTGTTTAATGCAGAACTCTTTGGGAGAATCCTGACTCATTCCAACCTGAGAGATTTCTAAATGAAAGCGGCAAGCTGAATAAAAGTCTGGTTGAGAAAGTTTTGATTTTTGGAATGGGCATTAGGAAGTGCTTGGGAGAAGATGTTGCTCGAAATGAGGTTTTTGTTTTTATTGCCAGTATCTTGCAGCAGCTAGAGTTGAAAAAATGTCCAGGAGCCCAGCTAGATTTGACCCCTGTATATGGATTAGTTATGAAGACCAAACCTTATCAACTCACAGTAGAGCCCCGCTTCCTGGTGAATTCTTCAACTTAGTTTCTCAACTGGATTAAAAGAATCTGTAATATATTGCAAGGATATAATATACCTAAGTAATTTGAAGATGAGATAATTTAATCTGTGAGCTTTGCTCTCAGTTTCATTTAGGGTTCATTATCTCTTTGTGGGAGATCCAAAAGCATAAGGTGTAGTCCCTTCAAGAAGCTCAATAAGGAAATAAGATGTAGTTATATAAACCAGTTATAGAACTGTGCAAAAAAAAAAATCCTGATCTCATGCCCAGATGTGTGAACTAAGTGATAAAGATTAAAGAAAATTAGAAAAGAGAGAAATCATAATAGACCAGAATAATCAAGTTTCATGGACAAGGTGGGGACTTGAGCTAAGATTTCAATAGTAGACATCAGACAAACATAGAATATGGGAAGAGACTATTTTTAGTTGGAGAATGTCATTAGAAATCATTGGAAATAATAGCTCACAGTGTTTTTGTGAGGATCAAATGAGATAATATGTGTAAAACACCTTGAAATACTTAAAGAATTGTTATTTTTATCATCATCATCACGATCATCATTGCATTATTGTCTACATCATCATTGCTTTTATTCACTTATTTAGGGATCACAATTTATTTCAACACAAATCACTTGTTTTCTCCTCTAGATAGCCTAACTTCAGTAACTCTCTGTGATTAAATGAGATAATGTATGAAAATTAGGGGTTCTCAACCTTTTTTATATCATGAATCTTCCTTTGGCAGTCTGTTGAGACCTATGCTCCCCTTCTCAAAATAATACTTTTAATTAAAATAAATTATAAATTTCAGTTAGAAGATATTTGAAAACAGAGATATATTCTACTCCCCCACCCCCATCTAAGTTAATGGACATTCTGAATTCTATCCATGGATCTCTTGAGAGCTGTTGGACTCCAGGCTGAGAACCTCTGATATAAAGTGTTTGCAAAACTTTTTAAAAATGCTATATATAGTTATTATTGTTGTTATTAATTTTAGCCTATGAATAAGATTTTCATGGAAAAGTTGGTCATCTTTTCTAATACTACGAGCAGTCACAAAGATGGAAACAAACTTGAAATGTGTTCAAAAGAACAAGCAGACTGGTCTGAATGTAGCAGCAATTTCATGTCAGGGAACAGTAGAGGAATAGGAATTACCATTCCTCTGCTATATAAAGGAATATTTTACTTCTGCTAAATTGAGTAGAAAATTTGCTCAAAATTTTAGAAGACTTCTAAAGTCAAGATGGGAAATTTAGCCTTGATTCTATAATTATTCCTATGCAGACAGGCATCGGAAGAGGAAGTTTCCTCAATTAGGAAGTTCTCTGTATCAATGAAATCACAGGTATTGTCCCTGTTCCTATCTCTATCCACATCCTTATAAGAAAGTAGGAAGCCGTCATCAGTACTCTCAAGGAGAGAAGTCGCTGCTAGGAATATTGTTTTAGGAAAACTTTTCTACAAGCAGTATTTAGCTTAGATTACATGAGAGAAAGAATAGATAAAGGGAGGCAGTAGTGATATTTAGCAGGTAAGAAGAGAGAGAATGAAGAGAAGAGAGAGGGAAGGAGGAGTGAGGGTGGGAGAGACAGAAGAAGAAGAAGTAGAGGGGGGAGGCAGGAGTCAGGAAAGAAAAAAAGAGGGAGAGAGGGAGAGAGAGAGAGAGAGAGAGAGAGAGAGAGAGAGAGAGAGAGAGAGAGAGAAATTCGTTTGCATATGATTGAGTTACCTAGGCCAAGGTAAAAGCACATGGAAGCATTTGAGTTCAAGCATCCAGCTAATAAGAATCTTGAAATTTTATCAGATCCTATGGGAATTTCTTTGTCAACCTAACTAAAATATACATTTTAGAAGGAAAAGTTTGTCATTTGTAGCTTAGTTTAAAGTGTATTGGGTAAAGACCTGGATTTGGAATCAGCAAGTTCTTCCTGACATATGCTGACTGAGTGACTCTGGGCAAGTTATTGAACCTTTCATTCCTATTGTCAAATACTAAGGACCCTAAGTTGCACAACAGGCACTTACCTGCTTAGTAGAATCAGGAACTTCCTCATTCAAGGAGTTCTTCATACCAATGAAATCACAGAATATTCCTATCCTGTCTCAATTAGTGTCATTGCTTTTAATACGAAGGAATATTTGGTGTCTCTAAAACGGGCAGTGAAATTTTTGCCACGTCCCTAATTGCATTCCATAAAGTGTGCCCCATCATCTGTAAAGGAGGTAGCCTGGTGTTATGGAAAAACTGTTACATCTAGAGTTAGAAAACCTGGGTCCAAATCCCACCCACCCCTGCTCTACTCCAACCCTGTTACCTTGCACTAGTCACTTAAATTGTGTAAGACTCAGTTTCTTCATCTATGAAATGAAGGGATTGTACTAGGTGACCAGTGATCTAATCACAGGCATCTTGGAAACAGGCCAACTTTGACTACCTGCCTGAAAAGGTGAGACTTACGGAAATATAGTTACTGGTTCCTTGGATTATGCTGTGAATTCCACTTCAAAATCTTAGAGTGTCATGTTTTCCCTATAAATATTCTTTCAAATTTTTGAAAGCAAAGAACAAAACAAACAAAAAAATTCACTCGTGATATTTACAAATTATAAAACTTGGCCTAGGAATTCTAATTAAAACTATATCGTTAATATGCCCCTGTGCTAAGTGGCTTTAATGGGTTTCTCCATTTGAAGTCTTTTTGTGTTAATAAAAGTAACCTACCACTAGGGGGACTTGTGAAGAATCCCTAGTAAAGAGGTTGCAAAGCTTTTAGCAAAAGTAAAATACTCTATACTGAACAACAGAAATGATGTTTGTAATACTGTAGGAATTTAGTGGTCTGTTTGTCCAGGAGTTGTTCCCTCTTAGGTTTTTTAAAACCTCCTTTTTTCTAATAGCAAGTAAGCAATGTTTTTTTTAAGCAATTTCAAGTTTAAATGGATTGTCATATACTACATTACATTTTACTGTGATCTTAAGGCATAATTAAGTAATGTGTTACTCTATATGTTTTATAATATATATATATATATATATATTTGCTACAGATATATTTTAGATAAGTATAAAAATGAAAGATGGGAGAAAATGGAAATGGATTAAGAGTAAATTTCCCAATTAAAATATAAAGAACAATTTATGTGATACTTATTCCTTTAGCATATCAATTTCTTGTTGAATAACAGATTATGAACTGTATCATAAGTTGGTACCATACACTCATGTTCATATCTAATGTGTTTCCATTCATATGGGAAATAAAAATATTAGTATCTACAAAATGTATGTGTGTGTGTGTGTGTGTGTGTGTGTGTGTGTGTGTGTGTAGGTTCTGATAGAGTTTATGATTCTGGTATATTAATTATATGCACAAGTCTGTGAGCATAACTATATTATATATGTATGTGTGTGCATAAATGCATTACCTCATTTTATCCTCACAACAATCTGTAGATAATACAGATTTTATTATCCCCCACTTACAGATGAGAAAACTGAGGCTCTGAAATGGTGAGTCATTTGCTCATGGTCACATATATATTTAAGCTCAGAAGTAATATTTGAACCTGAGTCTTCTTGAAGCCTAGCATTCTGAAGACCTCAAAGTGGAGAAACTAAAATTATCAGCAGTTTGGGGTCATTCGGATCAAGGGTAAAAAAATATCAAACCCAACTCAACTGTTCCTGGGGTAGTTAAGGCTATAGTTAAGCCTTTAAGGCTATGGATGTTTTATTATTCAGTAGTGCAGCTTAATAATTGATATTCATAATGATGACTGTGAATCATCATTTGACTACATACATGTGTATGAATACAAAATATACCCACATGTGTACATGTGTTGCTGGGCTTATTTCTTCCTCAGGAGAGATTTTCAAATAGTGAGTTTGAATCCAAATCCTATCCTTCCCCTTCTTCACTATCATGGTTACCACCTGAGTGTGGACCCTTATCACCTTATTTGTATTTCTGAATTAGCTCCCCACTTAGTCTTCCCACCTCAAGTGTCTCCTCTTTCCAATTCTCCTTCCACATAGCTGTCAATGTTGTATTCTTTTTGAATAGTCTGTCATTTTACTGATGTTTGCTTCTATATAACATTCATTTCCAAATATATTTCCCCGCCCCCATTACACTATGAGCCATCCCTTTTTAACAAAGATTTTAAAGAAGATACAAAATCAATTTAATAAATCTAACCAACACATTAACAATGTCAGACCATGTATTTAATATTCTACACTTATTCACCCACACCATGCCAGTAAAGGAAAGGAAAATATCTTTCCTCAGCTGTTCTCTACGCCCAAGTTTGTTCATTATATAACATTCAATTTCAGTTTGGGTTCCTTCCATTTGTCTTATTATATAGGTGCTGTGAATAATAGTTTTCCTGGTTATGAATACTTTAGTATGCATCAGTTCATAGAAGTCTTCTTATGCTTTTCTGGATTCTTCATATGCATTTCTTATAGTGCTGCAGTAATATTCTCTTACATACATGTACCACAATGTGGTAACCATGAACCAACCAATAGGCATCTATTTTCTTTCCTACCACAAAAAGATCTGTTAAGAAGATTTTGGCATATGTGGGACATTTCTTTCTGCCTTTGCCTCATTGAGATATATGCTTAGCAATGGAGTCTCTGGATCAAAGGGTACGTGTATTTAAGTCACAAAGTAGCATTTCTAAAGCATGGGTCTGCCTATGATACTTCTCTCCTCAAACTCCTTTCCATATTTATTAATAATTTCTTTCCCTTTTAAAATAAATTTTCAGGGGTAATTTTTATTTATTTTTTACCTTGCCTACATTTCCTCCTGTTTATTCCCCGAAGTCTGGTCGTTATAATTTCATAGCATTCAGTTTAAACTGTCTCCTTTTTGCTGTCTTTTTCCCCCCTCCTCATATATATTGTTGTAGTCATTGTGGATATCGTTTTCTTGACTCTTGTTTACTTCACATAATTTATCATATTCATCAGTTATTATAGCACAGTGATATTCAATTCTCTTCATGTACCCCAATATCTTTAGCCATTCCACCATTGAGGGGGATCTGTTTTGTTTCCAGCTTTCTGTTACCGTGAAAAGTATCGCCAATAACATTTTGGGGTGTGTGGGTACTTTCAGTGACCTCTTTGGAGTTTATGACTAGCTGTAGAATCTGATTATTACTTTGAATGCACTCTGTGGTACAGCTGACTTGGCTCACTTGCCCTTCCTCAAACTTGACATTCCCCCTCTTGTCTCTGTGACTTTCTATAGGCTCTCCTCATGCTTGGAAATGAGTGTCCTTAACTTTGTCTCTTAGGAAGGAAGCCAAGGTGCTTTCCTGAAAGCTGTTTAAATGCCATCTCCTAAATGAGGCATTTCCTAATCCTCTAGCTGTCAGCACTTCTAACCATCTAAAAGTTACACTGAATTTACTGTATATAAATATTATATTTAATTATTCTTGGACATATTTTTCCCCCACATAAGTTTCTTAAAGGCAGGGACCATTTTGTTTTTTGCTTTTCTACCCTCTGT